GACACCTGGACAAGGACATGTTTCATTGCTATGGAAACCTGGACAAGGGCATGTTTCATTGCTATGGAAACCTGGACAAAGGGCATGTTCATTGCTATGGAAACCTGGACAAGGGCATGTTTCATTGCTATGGAAACCTGGACAAAGGGCATGTTTCATTGCTATGGAAACCTGGACAAAGGGCATGTTTTATTGCTTTTGAAATCCCGTCTAATGGCATCTTTCATTAACATTGAAATCCAGACGAATAACATGTTTCATTGCAATGGAATTTTCTGGACGAATGGTATCGACAAAGGGCATGTTTCATTGCTATGGAAACCTGGACAAAGGGCATGTTTTATAAATCCCGTCTCCTTTCATTAACATTAAATGGGAATAACATGTTTCATTTTTCTGGACGAATGGTATCGAATACCACTAAATGGTTTTATGATATTAATAATAATGATAACGGGTATTTGTAAAGTGTCCACCCCCTGATGCATGCTCATGGCGCATAAATCATAACCATATAGACGTTCCAATCATTGATTCAGGTTGTAATTCTTGCACACAACTGTCTTGCTTTTATTCCTTGCTAATAAATGTTTCCTGGTGTCAATATCCTATCAAAAGGTTGAACATATATTTGAAATCTCAAAATATATTCTCACTTATGCATTGTTTGAGGAGTAGCGTTGTCCTAGAGCGTTTAATCGTGATATTGCTGGAATGTCGCTGATATGTAAAACCACTCGTTCACTCACATTCTCTAGATCTTGAAATAACGTTGACTGGTCAGATGAAGTATACACGCAGCATGCACCGATTTCTCATGTGTCTCATCCGCCTATCGCTGAAAATTCACTCGGGACCCGTTTCACGAACCAGTGGTAGCTTTTAGATGCAATTACTTTAACATAGCCTAGTCGTATGATTGGTTTATCGAACTGTCTAATTCCGTGCCATTGAGCACCGGTAGTCGAGATTATTAACACCCACCGTGAGATTTCTAAAACTTGTTGCTGGTTGTAAAAAGGATTAATATCTATGTTTTGGTTCCGAGCAGAATAACTAAGCGAGAAGCACAGCTGTTGATTTGCCAATACAGACAATGTTAGGGCATCATTTTTTTTATGTGTTTCACATACCCACTAAATTCTGAACATGGCTCGGTCGGTCGGGAAAAAATATTAAGAAAGACAAAATTATCTGAATATTGTTCTTCATTCTCACTTATTGTAATTCTTATTGCAATATCCCGCATTCTTTGGACATGTGGCAGCGACAGACTGAAAGATAAACATTATATATGTCGAGGCGGTACGTTTTAGGTTCGAGTCGGCGGTGTGGGAATGGTTTGTTTTTTTTGTTTTTTTTGTTTTGTTGTTTTGTTGTTTTGTTTTTGTTTTTGTTTTGTTTTTGTATTTTTGTTGTTGTTTTTTTGTTTTGTTTTTTGTTGCTGCCCTTACATGTAGAAATGTGTTGGTTAAAAGTACTTGTACCATCTCACGATGCAACTAAGACATACAACACAGTTGTTAAGTCGGAATACGCTAATCTTAATAATATTAAATTGAATACAACAACTTGCAGCCCACCTTTAAGACATAGGATATATCCTAATTCCTACTATAAGATGCCGGCTCTCGACCAATCATATCGCTTTAATCTGCAGCTGTGTCCACCTCAGAGTTACGTCCCTTTATGTTGAGACACGACGGAAGATATATGATCTTCCCACACTTCTCTTAAAACACATAATGCATTTTCCTCAATAATACTAAATATCAGCCCTCAGGGAAGCTACCATATATTTATTCCCGAACAAAATTACGTATTTAGATTAACATTAAAATAAAAAAGTTCCAATGAATTAATGCAACGTTGCAAAATGGAAAATCGACCCTCGCACCCTCAACCGGACGAACATTATTTCAAGCGAACCCCATAGAGTTATGTCCCTTGGAGCGCTCTTTATTAATATCCTACTCACCACTATGTGATTGCAGAGACCATATAATATTATTAGATTAATTATATGGTCTCTGGTGATTGAAACCAGTTCGGCAAACACCGACAACACCGCGAGCAATTGTTTATATTTCATATAAGGCAAGTGTTGCCTGTTTGGAAGCTGTTCGCCTCGAAGTTTCAATTATCGATTTCAGGCAAGTTGTAAGGGATAATAAGTCTTTTATTGCATCAATAGAAAGCTGGAATGGGTGCATATGCCCCGCTATGTATAATATGGGACAAAATATTGTCGAAAATGTGTGACATTGTGCCTTTAAACGCTGTTTCGCCCCCAAAATCCGTCGTCGAACCAACGCCGGCGTAGGCTTTATTCTCTTCTTTTTAGTGGCGGTGATATACATACTGAAGTTAAAGGGGCGTTGATCTAGAGCGTTTTATGCTCCGTGCCAACTATCTAATTACGTCGTCCAGCTGTCATGACTTGTCATTTAGCCTTGTTTATATGCATATACACATGACAACATTTCTTCAACCTAAACAATGAGATCGGGTGGTCAGGCTCGCTGACTTTGTTGACACATGTCGTCGTATCCCAATTGCGTAGATCGATGCTCATGCTAATGCTCACTGGATTGTCTGGTCCAGACTCGATTATTTCCATACCGCCGCCATATAGCTGGAATATTGCTGAGTGCGGCGTAGAACTAAACTCACTAACTCCCTCAACAATGAGATCCGTGTGGGTTATTTTTACCTCAATATCTGATCATGTCATGCAGCAATATTATATATATTGACCTATTAAAAACACACTTTTGATTTATTTGAATGTGTAAAGCAAATAAATCCCACATTGCCATTGCTAGAAACATCTAAAAAATAGGTATATACATTTTTAACTTTAGTACACAGCAAATGCTTATATGTATTTCTTATACAATAATGAAGTTCCGTTCGTATCCCAAAATACTGCGATTACTACTCCCTTGATGGTCAGTTAATGCATTTATAACAGGTATAATTAGTGTTAACACCACTCAGATTACCCAACAAAGGTTCCCATTTAGCATTTCTCGTGTCTGGAGTAAACACTCAACATTATAAATTGAGGTCTGATGTGGCAAATGCATTACATGTTATGTTATATTCGCATGGAAGTACAGCAAGAGGAATTATCAACTGAGTTAAGAAAGAAAAAAACCATCGATCAAAGGATTAACTGATAAACCATTGATTGATGTATTACCTTACCTTATCTTGCACAGCGGATTCGTCAGTCGGTAGCGTTAATGTATATAGGATAGGTTTACTAACGTATGTGGTGACACTGCCCAGTAAATCGGGCCAACCGCACCCTCGCAAAAAACTAGACCTAACGAAAGTACATCGTCTCATACACGTAACTGGAGGGGGTGACTGACCTAGATGAGTGCTCATATTTGTTGATCACTAGTTGTGACCTTAAATGTAGAATGGTCTTAAGTGTAGAATATTCATGACTATTCTACACTTAAGACCCTTCTACATTTAAGGTCACAAGAAACGTATACACCAACATTCTGTCGTAAAGTCGTAAAGTGCCTGTGTAAAAACAACGTCCTTCCTTCAAAGGATTAACCGCCAATATGTTGATTGATTGCTAAATCTATTTTAAGAATGGCGGACATCATGTAAAAAGTTGTCAGATGTGCTATCCTGGGTGGACAGTGAGACTATACACCAATATGAATCACCTGGGCCCCGTTTCACTAAGCTATCGTAGCGCTACGGCTGGCGTAAGTGTATGTTACAGTATAGGAGGTACGGCAGTCGGAGCGCTACGGTAGCTTTCTGAAACGGGGCCCTGAAACATAGTGGCGTTGTCAGTTGAGAAACTATCACTGGTCATAACGTTATATTTTTTTCCATATTAGACACATGACATGGAACAGGTTTCTTTGTTAGCTGCAGATGAATGGCATATCCTTTTATTGTGGATACTGATGGCTACATATGAATGGAACAAAGTAATAACTGCATATTATTGCTGTAACTTTAGTCGGTTTTAATTTTGAGAGAAATATGATTCACTTAGGCAATCTATAAAATATCTAGATATTACAGTCATTTTATTAAATCACTTGAACAAATCGTTTACTTCTTCATGAAGATCCAAAGTGCATACAAATATAGTAATAAATTAATTATGCTGGGTTGATAAGGCAACAATATAAAGACGTACACTGACTTCTTTTTCTTTCAATTCTAACATATTTTACCACTGCTAGATGTAGTTAAACTTCAAAATGTTTTGATTTGTTATCAAAATAATGAAGATGGAAATATTAAAGGGCAAATAGGTAGCTAAGACGAAGACGGGACTGTATTCCATGTCTTTTGATCAATGTAAGGATGCGCCCTTATACTACCTATTGGGGTGATCACACCCCAGTCAAGAATTCTGGGGTATCGTAGGGGTAGTCGCTGGGGAAAAACAATGACAAAAGCAACAACCAGTCCCAGGGAATTGCTCCAGATGAGTTTCCCTTTAACGCGAGCGTCTCTTCTTTACTGGACAAAACCATGTTGTTAAGTATCTCGCGCGTTGTATGCGACTTAAAACTACACAAACCCAAAGTCGCAAAGATCTTTAATGTTAATACAAGTCGTATGCCATGCGTTGTTACCCCGTTAGAATGCACCGTAAGTGGAAAGCGTTCGACTGGCTGGGTTTGCGCATGATCTAACCCAGACCCCACTATTCACCACGCACTCGTTTGTCGAAAAACCGCATATAGCTTTCACCCAATGCAATAAAACCGCCCTGTTGATAGCTCAAACTCATTTCCCCAAAGCATGAATAAAAAATGCTCTGCCCAACCCAGTGGTCTTCCCTAGGGACAATTTAATTCCACGTACTATTGAAGAAAAAACTCATTTGCTTTGAAATCTACCCGAAAGTGTATGACACCGTTGCAACATATACCTCCCTCAACGACCACCTGAAGCCTAGATAATCAATATATGCGCAGAAACTCGCGGAGCAGCATGATCGTCTGTGATATTGCCCGGGCGATCAGGAAACACGTCTGCTAACTGTCGTCTGCTCCGGGATAGCAGAAGACACTGACAGGATGAGGTAGCGGACCTTATAACTGCCGCAATGGAAATACATTGGAATAATCGGTTAGGGTCAAGCTCGATCGTACCGGCGTTGGTGTTAATTCTACAGTTATATATAGGTGAGCAAAGATTTTGACATTTCTAACATGCTGCTGTGAAATATGCGCACTTAAATGCTTGTCGCTAAATGTCAAGAAATATGTCAAGATTTGTTTCGTCAACCTGTGGTTCTATACGTTAAACAGTGCCCGGGTTAAATGATTATTGTATTCAAATTTGTTTTTGTAAAATGGTGGCGGGTATGACATGATGTTTTTTAAGAAAATTATATTGTCTCGACCTTCTCAAATTTCATTGGGTTGGAGGTAACCAACGTAATGCCAGATTATTGTCATATATCTGTTTGTGTCCTCATTTTCAGACTCATAAAGAATATTAATATTTCAAAGACTGAACCTTTATAGCCTGTATACAACCGATTTGAAAATAGCTTTTAAATATTACCGGGAGGTCCCAAAATGAACCGGGGTTCGTTTTGGTAAGATTTGAAAAAGGATCTAGAAATATGTCAGACCAAGAGGTGGAAACACATGAACCTAAGAACAGATGTACCCTGAGGAGACAATTTATAGCTCTCTCTCTCCGACTTACATCATTCATCTTTTATCACGAGAATTTAACTTCTTAGTGCTGTGACTTACGTTGTTCTAATATAACGGTACATTTGATCTTCTTTATAATACCAAATGTGTGTTTGTGTGTGGGTAAGTTCATGGCTCTTGTAATCTATATGTATTCAGGATACATTCGAATGTGTAAAATATATCAAAGAAAGTTAGGTTTAAAAATTCATAAATATGGGACTGCGCAAATATCTGAAAATCCCGCAGAACACAAAAAACAATCATGGAGGATTTAATACGTGTACTGAATTCGCGGATACCTACTTGGTCAATTAATTCTTGGTTTTACGGTTTCCATTCCCAGCGGCCTTTCTGAAAGTGGGCTTAAACCCAACCAACGCTCTGTTGTTTCACTGTTTAACGGAAAGGCCGACAATGCAGATGACAATATTGGACATTAGTATCGCGTAAACAGTGTCCTATGACTCTCATTTCTGAGTGACAAGTGACCACGCTTTTCATTGTCCACAACTGAACAAAATGGATCACTCTTTCGAACAGTATATCGTTTTATTTAGTGTCTTGATCACTGATACTGAGTACATTCTCCCCAGACCATCAGTCAGAAGCAACTACAGTTTAAATGTCCTGTTGGTATGAGCTATTTGGGGTGTAGGGTCCTACTGTTCATCTATAATTCACTGTCCTGGTTGCTCGTATTGCCATATAAGCAGAGTCGATTGTACAATCCGGAAATGTGTTTATGAACAACGTGATATAGTGATGATACCAAGGTGTTCGCGAAAAGGTGAGCGTATCCTGCTCTGTACCGTATGCAGAAGCAGTGGTTCACCAGTAAACAGTCAGTTGTTCACCAGTAAACAGTCAGTGGTTCACGTCAAAAAAGGGAATTGAAATTTCCTCATGTCTACAGATAATACTTTCTGGAGGACTTTCTCAAGCCTTGATTTTGCAATCTTGATCGAACCACTTCTGACCAAGAGTCTTATGACGTTCTTGGAAATCGTGGTAAGAGGAACCCGGGAATCATTGTCAGGAATGTAGGAACTACCTTAACTCCTCGCCCAACAATTACTGTTACATTTTGTAGTTATCCACTTCGACATATCTTCAGGCTAGGTTTATGTTTACAGTCGCAGGGTTATAGGGTGAAAATCTTGTTAACGTCTTTCTACTGTAGAGTTACCATTGAAACTAGCTGAATGTTCAATGAACTAAGGAGGTATCTTATTTCACTGGTCATGAGATCGCTTGGAGATTTCAGAAGTTGCTTTCCGATGTCCGAACATCTCCGTATCTTGTTGGAATTCAAATTGATACCACCTATACCGAACTCCACCAACAAGAAGTTCACAAAATTATAGATCACTGTAGTGTTACAACCGAAACTAGCTGAATGATCAATGAGATAAGGAGGTCTCTTAATCTCCCTGATGATGAGATCGCTTGTAGATTTCAGAAGTTCCTTTCTGATGTCCAGAAATCTCCGTAGCTTATCGGAATTCCCATTCATACCGCCCATACCGTACTCCACCAGCAAGAAGTTCACTAAACTATAGACCACTGTAGCGTTACAACCGAAAGTAGGTGAATATTCAATGAAGTAAGGAGCTTTCTTAATCTCAGTGGCAAGGGATCAGTGTTTTGTTTATGAACGTTCCTTACAATTTGACACAGTATTTAAAAGTGAGAGGCGAAAATAAGATGTGAAAAGAGACAGATTGAGTATGACCTAACACCACTGGTACCAATAATTCCACTGATATCCCGAGGGATTCAAAAAAGTGAGTTTTACAAAATTTACCATTTTGTGGAATCGAACTCGTTCCTTCGGAATGACGCGAAAACGCTTTTGCCACTAGGCTGACCCATCGGCCCGGTGAGAATATAAAGTACGTAGATACAAGTTTGGAATCCTAGAAGGGACATTGTGGTGTTGTCGTACAGTCGCGATTTGGTTCATTTTAGAACGTTTTGCTTGTTTTTGTCTGGGCGACAATGTCCCTTCTAGGATTCCATAGTTAATAGTCTAATGAGACAATAATCATTACATTGTCCCAAACTGTCTGCCGAAATATACCCACACGCATACGTTTTTAGCCAAATGGGAAACAAACTCGAAACCCTAAATTGATGTGAGTATCTGGCATACGGTGAAGCCTGATGGTGTTATCAATAATTTTTGTTTGCGTTTTGGAAGGTCCCAGTAGAAACACATCAAAAGAAGGAATCACCAAAACGCACCATACCAATGAGCAATGGGGTATCATGCACACATTTCGCGTGAAATCGAACATGCACGAATTGTCACCAACATTAGTGGGTAAAGACTGTGCACAAAAATTGGGCCTGTCACTCCTTGTTCCACCATGCCACGCTTAACTCGAATTGAGAGAAACCAGCCTGGTCACACTAGGTATTGACATATTGGCTATTGACCAGAACCTGAGTACCCCTTAACATTCGGAAACTTAATGATGCCATCAGTCTTTGCAGCCAATGAAATGTCTTCACTCAGTTGTTTGTCTATCTGACCCTGTTGGTATTTCTGAACATTGCATACATGTATGCTTTATGCTCGACTTGCGTGCTTTTTCGTGTGAGTATATATTCGATTGAACGCGAAAGGCAACACAGTCATGAACTTTATATAAATCGATAACTGACCTTAAGTGATGACACCCGGTGTTCGCGTAAAGGGAAGATGTATCTTCCGAACCCACTTTGCCGACATTTCACTATCAATTACATAGTGATCAGTAAACTCTGATCTGAGCAATGTGACTTGGGTTAGAATTGGTCTTCAGAAACCCAAGCGACTAACGAGATCGGGTGATCAAGCTCGGAATTGGTTAATGCATGTCCGAAGTGCGCTGGTCGATGGTCATGATGTACATCACTAGATTGTCTGGTACAGACTCGAATCTTTATACACATGTAGCTGGAATATTGCTGAATGCGGCAGTAAACAACAAACAAAATCAAGGTCAATGCTGCACGGTCACGTGAAACATCAACCTCAACCTTTAGATTTGGGAAAGGGCATTACATGGGATGTAGTATGGTACAATCCATTCGGTAATTACAATATATCACCTTAACCCTGCCTGTTACGTCACAATTTACTTGTTTGTGCTGTTGTTGTAACTTGTGAAGCTCGATCTCGATATTCAGATTACATGCATCACAAGTGACATACATGTATTAGGAGTTGATCGTTCGTGTACTAGTACCGACCTCCGCTCTAATGTATAAACCCACAACGAGTTCACTCCATCCATCCATCCGTACTTCCTTCCTTCCTCACATCCAGGATTACTTCTGTCCACCGATCTACCTACCAAGTACCCACCTAACCACCCACCGGCCTGCCTACTCCTCACTCACCCACCCACCTACTTACTTACCTACCTAACTACCCAGCAACACACCCACCTGCCTACCTACTTGTCAACCTACCTACTAACGAATCTACTTACCTACCTCTCAATCTACCTTCGTTCCCAACATTCCTACCAACCAACCCACCTACCTACCTATCTACCAATATACCTAAACCCCTACCATCCCACCAGCATCCTACCCACCTACTTACCTGCCTCCCTACCTACCCACCCACCTACCTACCTACCACCCTGCCTGCGTACCTACCTACCTATCTACCTCCATACCTAACTACCTACCTACCTACCTATCTATCTTCACTCCAACCAACCAACCCCAATTTACCTACCTACCTACCTACCCATCCACCCACATTAGATGTATATACTATCTGTGACATACAAGTTACTGCGACTAAGAGGCGTCTGCTTTCAGTAACAATGTCTTATGGTGCGATGGAGTAGCCTAGTGGTTAAGGCGATCGCTTGTTACGCCGAAGACCCGGGCTCGATTCCCAACATGTGTACAATGTGTGAAACCCATTTCTGATGTCCCCCCTGTGATATTGCTTGAATATTGCTAAAAGCGGCGTAAAACCATACTCGCTCACTCACTGTAAAATATGCACACTTTGTATTGATACCAGGAAACGATGTAAATAATTTCATTTGTTTATCTGAAAATGAGCAATCGTTTGTCTGTATCACGGTACCAAAATATTTATACACTTCTAAATATAAACTGTTTCGTCAACATGAACACGTATTAATTACTCATCAGGAGTAATGACTCACTTAACCTGTCGTGAAAGACGCAACTGTTTAGAGATGGAGTTCGATTCGCATTGGAGGTCGGTGAGTGGCCTTATAGTTAAATAGACCAAGGTTCGATTCCCCACATGGGTACAATATAAGTTGTTCACTGGTCACGAGGGTACATCAACCCATAGGCCCCGAGGGACCAGTGAACAACATATTTATCTTACCGAACACGTCAACGTTAATTTTGAACTGTTTGAAGCACGGGTATTCGATCATAATAAGGGGTACCGGGGTTAGGCAACAGCCCAAACACTGCTAACACGAAGTACC